TTAATAGAAACGGGTTAATAATTAAGAGAGAGCTAGCCCATAAGAAGCCTGAGTCATTAGCCAGATAGTTTATAATTAATATAAGCCTCTGTGTGTTTATTTGGGACTACATGGCTGCAGGACCAGGCAGTCCAGAAACCTCCATCAACAGAAGGAATAAAGTATGTCAGTGTGGGAGCTGCCTGACCACTAGGAGGTCATAGGGAAGTGGGGAAAGGCAAGATGGTCCTCATTGAATGTGCTGTACATGAACCCCCTCAGCTGAGACCAGGTGACACTCACAGGTGGTGGGTGCCAGGTGCTCTGCTGGTGAGCCCACTCAGCTGAGACCAGGTGACACTCACAGGTGGTGGGAGCCAGGTGCTCTGCAGACTCAGAGGAAATAGCTCAGGAGACATCCAAATGCCTTTTACTCTCCAGTTGCAAACTGAGTGGGAATTTTCCAGAAGGTGCTCTGGGAATAATCATCCTACCAGCTTCTTCCTGTGGAGTACTCTCTGCCCACTGGATTTCCAGCTAGAGCCCTGCTAGGGTTTTCAAGTTACTGTGAGTATCTTTGAGCTTATGGATCTCTCCTGGGAAGAAATCAGTTTTCTTGGGGCTGTTCGGGTCAAGCCTTCACTCCAGAGAGGCCCCCAAACCACACAATCCAGTGCAGTAGCTATTGACCACACATGCAGAGTAACTAAAGAAACAAAATAGAACTGGGGTTTGAGTCCATAGTCACATTCACTGTAGTTGAGGTCTCAATAAATACCTGTGGCTGGCAGCAGTCACCTGGCCAACACAGGACATTTCCCTCATTGCGGGACATTATGGTGCTTCTGGAGAAGGATCCAGTTCCTGTCATTACAGACAGGAATGTTTAGGATACTTTCTTCTGGTCTCACCTCCATGTGTTGGGCCTGCACACCAAGTGTTCACACTCCGCAAAGTTTCAGCTACAGCTGTGTCTTGACTCTTCGGGGCCATTTGCTGCCCGGAAGACCTCATGCAGTGACATCCCACATTTGCCTGCTACTTTCTAGCTAGATTCCACTCTTAAATTATACAGACTATTTTTCTTGTTGAAATCTATGCCATTAAACTTACTGAATAAAAGAAATCTAGCCAAGAATGGTAGCATATGCCTTTAATAACTGCAAAGGCAGACAGATCGGGGTGAGTTCCAGGCCAGCCTAGGCTATGTAGAGAGATGCTTTCTCAGTAAACAAACCAACAAATAAAAGCATTAAAAGAAATACACCATTTACTTCTTCTGCCATCACAGAGGCCCCTCCTAGGACCTCAGATTGCTTTGGTTCTTTACAGTGTGTGAAGATTGCTGATTTCCAGAGGCAGCCCTGAAGTGTCATGTCCTTCATAATTCTTAGAGACATGCAGAGAACAAATCCAAAGTCTGTGAGGACATTGCTCTCACTGCACTGATCAGTATACCCGACTTTGGAACTTGACTTTATACTCAAAGCTCCCATCTTCCATGGCCATGGCTCCTCAAAGGTACCCATGGTCCTTGACCCCCGAGGGCTTCTGTGAAGAAATACCTACATTAACCTATGTAGGTTAAAAGATGCAATACAGTAAGTAGCTTGTGCTAAGGAAAGAGAACTACGTGGCTAAGCAAGTAGAAAAACACCCTCTTGTGCTTGGCCCTCACCTTTGAGCTTGTCCCCACTCCTATGATATGCAAGGAGATTGCATTATGGCCTGGGATTTACTGCAAATCACTTTATTGCATTTGGTGTTTTAGGAGATTAGATAGTGCTAAGATAGTCTTTAATGGGTGATGATTGCAGAGGTCAGGAGGCTTGTAGATACTTTGATTTATGCTCATTAATTCACCTGATTTTAGAAAAAAAAATAGCCCAGGTTTCCTTGCAATTTTCCAGGAGAATTTCTTTTAAGATGATCCATATATTTCTGGATACCACCTGTTTGTTATTGACTGTACACATCTTCCCATTCTATTGAGGGAACTTAGAACTAAAGACTTAGTCTGTTAGTAAGTTTTGGTGTAATAAGAAAATGTTTTCCATAATGCTGCTTTCCCTCCAGACAGGAGTTTAATAAGTCCTTGGTACTAAAGGGATATTTGCAGTGTCAGTAAAAAAAGTCCTGCCTCCTTAGGCAATCTAATATTGCATCTTCAAACTTCTGCCATGGGGTAGTCCTGGCAAAGAAAAGTTGCTTGTGGCCTTCTTGCAACTATGGCTTTTACACAATTTGACCGTGGAACCAGAGATGTATAGAAAGGCAAGAGACAGTGCAAGCAAGCAGCCTGTGTCTGCCAGGCCATTATTTGAGCTTCTGAACTGAGAAGCTCACTCAGTAATTGCGGGGCCACTGTCTCCCATGTGCCACAATAGGAAGTATAGAAAAAAGACTGACAGGTTGAATGTTCATACTTTGTGTTGTTGTGACCAAAGAAGCCTGAAAGAACATCTGAGAGGAGGTAATATTTATTCCTCATCTTAGAGGGTTCAAGTCTATGGCTGTTTGGCTCCGTGAACATAGGCAGACCGTCTCGGTAACAGCAGCATGTGGGGGGAAGATCTAGTCTCGTGGTAGATAGGAAAGACAGGAAGAGAATAAGCAAACAGGCAGCATGAGACATAGCCCTCAAGGACACTCCTCCAGTTGCTTCCTCCAGCTGGGCTCTACCTCCCAAAGTTTTATAATCTCCCCAAGTGACTCCAGCATCCAGGAACAAAGCATTTGAGACATGAACTGGGGTATGTGGGTGGGGAGGAAGAGGCTATTTCATATCTCAGCTATGGTGAATGTTTATGGTAGACATGAATCAGCAACCTTTCTAAGAGGCACAGCAATAGAGCTGGGGTCTCTGGGAGAGATGCCTTGGGTTGCTTTCCTTTTGGGTGCCGTTTCCCATCTTGGTAGAGGGATCTATCAGCACTTTCCTAACTCCAGTGCTTGATACATGCTCTCATGCGGGGCTTTGTGGTATAGGACCGGGGTCTTCATCTTCCCCAACAGTGATGGGCAAAGAACAGGTAGGAGAAGTGTTGGTGGGTTGACCTTGGCTTGGGGGGAATTCAAATTCCTCCCCCTATTAAAGATCTATTTAGAGATTTTTTTCTTAACTTTGTGCTCTGGGTGACTTAATGAGCTAAAACTTCACTAGCAATTAGAAGGGCTATGAAAACCATTTGATTTTCACCAGGAAGTGTTCTGTTTGTTTCCTTAATAACCAGAACATGAACATCAGCGCAGAGTGAGAGTGGAGGAGGAGGAACCAGGAGCTCCTCTCTGCTGCAAAGCAGAGTGAACTTGAAAAGAACATTGCTCCTCCCTCCCAAATCAGAGCCCACGGGGTGACTCAGCAAGCTGTGCTGTTGATTATTTTCTGTATGTTTACTATGCTGTCTATTCATTTCAAGAATTACAATAGAACTAAGAAGGGAACTTTCGAACGTTGAGTCAAACTCTATGAACCAAGAAATGAGACTGGGAATTCAAGAGACATCTTAATTTTTTCTCTCATAAAGACATATATATATATATATATATATATATATATATATATATGTTATACATATGTGTGTTGGTGGGTTGACCTTGGCTTGGGACATAAGTAAGTTAAGCTCTAGCCTCTCAAAGACCAGTGGATACATACATTGAAGACTAGTTTTATTAGAATTCAGGAGACCTTGTACTGGTATCCAGCACTCAGTAGATCTATCTTCTGGTTCTGTCACTAACTTGCAGGGCTTCCTAGACCAGGCTGTTTCAACTTTAGCACCGTTGATGCTTTGTGCTGGATAATTTTTACAGTACTTGACTGTTTTGTGTATGTTCAGTAGCACCCCTTGCCTCTACCCCATGAATACAAGTACCACCCACACCCACAACAACTGCACCAGTTACTTCTTACATCACTGTGAACACATCGGACAGTAAGAACATAAGACAGAGAAGATTTATTTGATTCCATGGCAAAGAAACACTGGCAGTGGGAACAAGGGGAAGGTTCTTCACATCATTGCAGACCAGGAAACACTTCACATCATATTGGATCAGGAAGTGGAGAAAAGAGAATTCTAGCCCTCAACTAGCCTTCTTTCTCCTCTTTTCCATCTCATCTACTAGCCAATGGGATGATGTTACCCACATTCAAGGTGGGTCTCTCCCCTTCAGTTCATTCTCTGTGCAAACCACATTAATTTCACAACACATGTGATTTGTCTCCTTTGTGAGCTACTGTTTTAGAGCAAGTCATGTCACTTCCCAGACCTGAGTCCTCACTGACCGACAGTGGTGGCCCTATAAGAGCATCTGAAGTTCATTCGGATCTGACCAATTACCCTCAAGATAATATACCAGATTGTCATAAGTGGTAGACAGCTTGTGTCAATGCAAATGGGTCTCTAAGTGAAACTATTTGTAAATACAGTTCTTTTACTATGTGTCCTAGTTTGCTTCTCTGTTGCTATGATTAAAACACTGACCAAAAGCAACTTGGGGAAGAAAGGGCTTATTCCAGCTTGGAACTCCCAAATTTCAACACATCAAGGGAAGGCAAGCAGGAACTTATGGCAGGAATCTGGAAGCAGAAACTGAAGCAGGAGCCAAGGAGCAATGCTGCTTACTGGCTTGCTCAGTTTGGTTCTGTATACAACTCAGGACTACCTGCCAGGGGTGGCACCACCCAAAGAGGCCTGGACCCTCCTGCATCAATCATTACTCAAGAAAATGTCCCCACAGACCAGCTTGATGGCAGATATTCTTCAACTGAGAGGTCCTTCTTCCAATGTGACCCTATCTTGTGTCAAGCTGACAAACTCTCTGTTTTGCGTTTGTCTAGTTATCAAATACCAAGGGGATTGTTTGTTTGTTTGTTTGTTTTACTGATTCCCAAGGACCGCAAAATACACATGGAACAGCTCTGCCTGTCACCAAACTCTATTCATACAGTGAGGGGCAACACAGGAATGGCTTACAGGTACTTTGCTAAAATGACTTTTCTTTCCCCCTTCCCACAGGGATTCTCACACTAAAGAAAGCAAATGACCTTCTGAGCACAGGTGTGCCAGGAAGTTTTCTGATCCGAGTCAGTGAAAAGATCAAGGGCTATGCCCTGTCCTACCTGTCTGAGGAGGGCTGCAAACATTTCCTCATAGACGCATCTGCCGACTCTTACAGCTTCCTGGGTGTGGACCAGCTGCAGCATGCCACCCTGGCAGATTTGGTGGAATATCACAAGGTGAAGCCACTCATATGCTTAATTTGTCTTGGGAATTATTGTCCTATAGATATATAACAAAGAGGGGCATGGCTAGGGATATTGCTCAAAAGCAAGCAATGGGAGGGGCAGCATATAATTCCCCCTGTCCTTTATCACATCCTCCTGACACACTCAGAGATATCCCACTGGATCTGAGAATACTGGAGATGCACATACTGGTCACATGTGTGAATGGTCCCATGCTAGAACTTGGACTCTAGCAGGAAAGGGAAGCTGCCAGAAGGAAATTGCTATTAAGGTTGTCAAAAGCCAACATATGTTTGCACAAGCCTAGAGTAAAGGGGTGATATCCTGAGGAGGTAGAAGGGCATCTACCACACAGCTGCTACATGACCCTGTGCTTTGATTGACAGGAAGAGCCCATAACCTCCCTGGGGAAGGAACTCCTGCTGTACCCCTGTGGTCAACAAGACAAGCTACCAGACTACCTGGAGCTCTTTGAGTAACAGCTCTAGTCAAGATCAGCCTTCAGCCAGGTTTTCCTCTGGACAGACACCTCGGAGGTGGACAGTTGCCTGTGATGCCAAAATCACTCTGTGACAGAGCCAACAGTGAAGAATGCCTTTGAGGTTAATTGAAACCTTGATTCTGCATAAAAGCTGGAGTTCAAGTCAAGGGGATACATCCTCTCCCCATCCTCATTCTGAAAGGAAAAGGGAGAAGTGTACTCATTTCAGTAACATCCTAATATGAAGAATAGGACCTTGAAGGATATGACCATCATGTTGTATATAAGATAAAATAACAAGGCTAACTTGAAATGTATTTTTAGCAGTTAATATGTTACTCTAAAAAAAAAGTGAACTGTTTTGTGATCTACGTGCTCCCTCTTTTGTATTCAGTCAAAGGTCTCAGCGCCTACTTCCATGAACTTCTATCTTGGCTTTAGAATGCTGGAAAAAGCATCCTCTCTTGGGGCTGAGAGTATCCTCAAAAGACAACCATTTTTGTATGTATTGGAGCCAGGATTCAGGAGACAGAAAAGCAAGTCCCAATTGGGAATTGAAAGAGAAGTTTTAACACCTGGTATGTGAGACTTACCATGCACAAAACAACAACAATAAAAAATAACACACACGGCATCAGTAGGGAACCACATTTTATAGCTTGTTCCTCAGTTTTCTTTGCCTCCCTTATCTGTGAGTAAATATAAAAGATGGTGTGCATGGCCATGCAAGGAGTCATGTATTCATGCTGCGGAGAGAAGAACAGAGTGGTTTGGATACCACCCATTGAGAGCTGAATTGTGTCCCACACCAAACATACATGAAGTACTGACCTCCCTATACATGGTGTGATCTGATAGAAAAAGGGGGTCTTTGTGGCTAAGATAAGTAGGGTAGTCCTGACTCTAATGACTGGCATCTGTACAAGGAAGAGAGATTTAGAAATAGACACACAGAAAGATGAGGTCTGAGGAACCACAGAAACAGAGTGAGTGTGGCAGCTGTGATCAGGGGATGCCAAGACTTGTGGAAGATAACAGTACTCTGGGTAGATTCTCCCTGGAACTCTAGAAGAAAAACATACGGCCTTGCTTATGTTTATTTTCACCATTATTTCAGCCTTCTACCTTTAGAACTGTGGGATAATAAATGTCAAAGTCACTGAATATATGGTAACTTTTTACAGCACTCTCAGAAAACTAGTGCAAGAGTTTATGTAATCACAGATCCCGCACACGTTTCATGGACTTGTTTCTTGTTATAGTCTGTGCCCTCACAATGAAATAAAACTTGGATATGGGAAGAATATTCCAAATGATGCTGTCTTGGCTGGGGACACAGATTTATCCAGTCAGGGATCTCTGGCCCTGCAGCATCCTTAACTCAAATGTCCAGTCATTCTTAGCTCAGATCAATGAAGTGGGGCCAACCTTGGGGTGGTGGGTCATGCACTGTCATTTTTCCTGGGAGGAAGGAACATTGCCCATAGCTAAGCCTCTCTGTGCTAGCTTTCTTTTAACTTGCCTTTTAACCAAAGTAGAATGGTGCTACAGTTGTTGTTGTGTGCATCAGTCAAATGCACAATATACCAATGAAGAGGCTAGTGGGCAATCCAATGAGAAAACTGAAATTCAGATTTTAGTCAACTGTTTCTTGAAACATTCCATGTGGTTTGTACAGTTTAATCTTTATAAGATCCATCTTTTAGCTCTGTTTCCATGACTCAGGCTTCAAGAGATTACTCAGAATCTTTGCTGTGTTCTCATCTCTCCCCACTATTTCCTGGTTCTCTTGAATGGCCCCTTTATCTATCTATGCAAGTTATGTTTCTTATTGCAGTGACAAAAGTACCTGACAAAGGCAAGTTAAGGAAGGGAGGGTTTGTTTCTGCTCACACTGTGAGAGTGCAGTCCATCATGATGGGGAACCCACGCTGGTGGGAGCCTGCCACATCGGCACTAAGAATGGCTAAGTCTAAATATATCCATCTGTGTTAAGTGACTGAAAGAAGATTAAGAAAGAACACAACAGAGTTAACCTAGTATAATTGCAGGAGTAGTAGATTTGGGTTCTGTACTGTTTCCTCTTATTGACACACAGAGGGATAAACCTTCTAGTATTTGGTGAGACAGTGGCCAGAAGGAACACTGAAATTCTGAGGGCAGGAAAATGATTTGCAGAATTGGGAATTTCAACTGAATGGGCTGAGGGAACCTGTGTGCTTACCCTCACGGTCATGGCCATGTCTGAAATAGGTATGGTCTGAGGTGGAGTCCAACCCTGGCTCTGGTCTCCTCTTCTGTGTGTCAACAAGCCTAAATACCTGCCTTTTCTGCTCAACGTTTCTTGGTCTGGGGTGTTGCCTTTAGACTGTTGTAGAGGTTTCTAATGCCAGGGGCTCAGGCCCATGGACTCTTGTGTCTTGGGCTAAAGCCAAGTGCCAGACCCTGTCCACATTGGATCTTCTTCTCATCATTAAGATTCGGGAAACTCCCTGCTGCAGGCATATCACCTTTTCTGGCCTTTATACTACCATGGCAAGCCAGGTCAAACATTACCTAGGCTAAGGAAGAGCCCAGGAACAATTAAGACCAAAAAGAACCAAAGAGGCACAGCACGAATATGTCCCCCAAAATATCTCAGGGCATCGATACCCAGAATAACCTACTTGAGCCAAGGCTTTGCCATTAGTTATTCTATGATGGACTAGTATTGTTCTAGTCTGCTTTCTATTGCTGTGATAAACACCATGACTGAAAGCCACCTGGGGGAGAAAAGGATTTACTTGACTCACACATCCCAATCATAGTCAATTACTGAAGGAAGTCAGGGCAGGAACTGAAGCAGACCACGGTGAGCAACGCTACTTACTGGCTTATTCTCAGGCTTGCATTCAGCTACCTTTTTTTATACCTCTAGGATCACTTTGCCTGACCTGGCCAGAATCACTATGAGCTGGGCCCTCCCACTTCAATCATCAATCAAGAAAATACCCCATAGACTTACCTAGAGACCAATCAAATGGAAATGTCTTCTTAATTAAGGTGCATTTGTGGCTCTGTGCATATCGTAGTTTGGGGCTTCCACTATTTTGAGTGTTTTTGTTGAGAACATGATACATGATTGCGGGGATGGCCTGAAGCTAAGAAGTGGTGGAAGTGTGTCTAAAAGACAGAATTTTCTCATCCTGAGAGGGACAGGAGTTTGACTGCTCCCCTGCCTTTCCCGGACACCAACAGACCCCAGGACATAAGCATCCCCAAGCAGGGATGTGCCCTGGTGCAGGTAGCAACTGATAAGCTCTCCCGGCTCTAAGGCTGGGAGGACTGGTTTGCTGCTTATCTGACCTCTGAAGCATCCCAGACTGGGGCTAGACTGCCTTTCTTTTCTACATGGCCTCATAAGGCTCCTTCTCCTGGGCCCTGAGGCTTCCGAGTATGCAAATGAAGTGCCCTCCACGTTCTTGTCTCAACCAATAACATACCACTACATGGATCCAAATGGCCATTTTTCCTGGGGTATAACTGTCACCTGCCCACTCCTAATAAACGAGCTGTTTTTGCACACAGACTCCTGAGTATTCTCACCCATCCTACTCACCGATAGTCAAGATCCTCCTTCGGCGCCAGCGGTGCTTGGACCTGCTCTCTCTGACCTCCCAGGTTGGACTAATGCTCAATAGTTTGACCATACTGGGACAAAGAAGGACTCGAGTCGGGCAAATGACTTTATTTCAGGACACATATTAGATTTGTCTTTCTTAGAATGCAGCTTTTTCCCCTCATAATCACAGCTTTCTGACAATTATATCTTTAATATTTTTGTTTAAATTTTGCTTTCTTATCCTTTAGAAATACATATGTCTTATTCAGTGTTTCTTCTTTGCTTTTTTTTTTTTTTTTTTTTTTTTTGGCCTTTTCATTGTGTTTATCCCTGCTTTCTGCTACTCATCTCTGATCCTGTGGAAGGAGAGACTGGATTTCCTGCCATGTTAATTCTATGTGTTACTGTGACCACTCCACAGTAACACTGCCATGTTAATTCTATGTTCTACTGTGCCTACTCCACAGTAATACTGCCATGTTAATTCTATGTTCTACTGTGACCACTCCACAGTAACACTTCCATGTTAATTCTATGTGTTACTGTGACCACTCTACAGTAACACTGCCATGTTAATTCTATGCTCTACTGCAATTGGCCCCACAGTTAAATTTCGAGTTTGTCTGCAGGGTGGTGAGTAACTTGTCTCTCTATGCAAAGGCTTACTTATGTTCCTCAAGATTAAAATCTATCAAGGGGCTTAGGTGATGAAAATTTTCTCCCTTTAATGTATGATAAAAATATATTATTGGATAATGAAGTAACTTGACATAGCATAAAGAAAGCCCAGCAGGCTTGAGTTTGTGTCCTGCCCATATCATCAATTAGCCTTGTGGAATCATAGAAAGAAAAAAATGCTGAACTTGCATGATCTTCAACTTCTAAAATGAGTTATTGAAGTCACCTGGGTTCTGGAGATTAGAAAAGAGTTATGTTAATTGCCCAGCATAGCGAAAAAGCTCTGACAAGTGCAACCACTCCCTGTGAGTTTTCCTTTATTAACCCAGCTTATATAACCAATGGGCCCTGCATCCTAATGGCCACATTCCTGGAATTTGGGGGAGTATGTTAAGGGGACAAGGGAAACTTTTAAAATGTTGGGGATATAATGATCTATACAGAATATTAGCTAGCTGACCTAAAGTGAAATGGATCAGTTAGCTTGGGATTTCAAGTGGCAAGGGAAGGGAGGGATATTTCCTAGTGATTTTGACAAACCAAAGGTTAGCAATAGCCATCTTTTATCCCTGAATTGGCAGTTGTCAGTGGCCTAGACCATAACCCCCAAGTTAACACCTACTTTGTGAAGAGAAGATTTTGGATTTGCAACATTCTCTGCCTATCTCCTTGTTAGGCCAGGTGGCGCCAAGCCTGCACACTATGCTACTGGTGCTGATTAGATCCATTGCACAAGTCCATCTGAGTCAGTTGTATGGTTTCCTCAGCTGAAAAGTAGCTTCATTTTCAAGTCTTCCAGTAAGTCAAAATCCTAGTAAGATCCCCACCCTAGAACTGGATCACAACCAAACAAAGTAGCAATACCATCTTTTCCATGGACGTCTTTCTCAATGGTGTGAAAGAGTATTATACAAGCTTCTCACTCAGGCCACTCTGGCTATTCCTGACAGCCCCACACAGTGGGGCTTTATATGGCTCAATGTTATATGAGAGTAGTTACAGAGGATAAAAAAAAGAGAAATTTAAAAAATAAATCCTTCAGGTTTGGTTTAAATTTAATTTGGGTGATATTCTATTTTTTGTTTGTTTTGTCTTTATTTCAAACATTTAAATGCATTTGAAATGGCTTATTTAAGACATCGACAGACAAGATGCTATTGTAGGTTTTCAGCATGGGTTGCAGGCTGAGACTGATGGTAGATTTGAAAGTTTCGAGGACAAAGATCTGAGGTAGAGGCGGCTGAGTACCTTATTCCCACCTAAAGTGTAGCTGCAAAAGAAGGAATAAATTCAGTTCTCTTAACCACCCATGCAGATTCATAGACATTTGCTGATTTCTAGCAGAGCAACCTCCTTCCTGCCACCCAACACACATGCATCCTGGCCCTTGATGAATGTGGAGGAAACAGTGGAGGCAGGAGCATAGCCTCGCTTCTCTCTCCCTTCTCTCTCACAATAGTATTCACCATGGCCTCCCTTCCTATTACCTACCTCTCCCATGGTCTCTTTCCTATTTCTTACTATCATTGTCAACGATAAACCCCTGGGGATGCTGGGATTGACTTCTGCAGAGGGCACCATCAAAGGCTGAGTAAAGCAGAACCATTTAAAAAGGTATCTCTGTGGACATGAAATAACATATTCTGTGTGTTGGGGAAAAAACCCAACCCCTCAAACCAACTGGCACAGACCCCATCACATTTGGCAGCAACAACAAAGCCTGAGTCTTGCCAGGAGAAACAGCTTTGAATGATAATACATATCCAGTCAGAATGTAACCACAGGGAGCTCAGGCATCAATGGGCAGGGGAGCAAAGCACACCTGTCTTCCTTAGAATCTGCCCGAGGTCATTGTCCCATCGGCAACTCCCAGGAACTCTAGGAGTTCCAATTTGACCTTCTACATGAGCATCTTTAAACCTCACCATTTGGGGTCCTGCTTAAGAGCCTGGTCCTAAGGCTTCACACTCAAGCACAGTGCCAGCCCAGCTCATCTCTCTGCAGCTGGAGAGATGCAGGTGACTAGGTTGTGTAGCTCTTCCTGGTCTGCCATGCCAACAAGTTTCACTCCTCTGGGTCTCTTATGTGGGGTTAGAGAAGACAAACAGTGGGAACAACACACAAAGAGGACTGAGGACTAGACTTGCCTAACTCAACCTTTTTCCCCATGAGCCTTCACACCACCTGGAACTTGCCCCAGGATGGGATGTTGGCATGAAGTCAGTTTATGAGCCAATCTCTTAACAGTTTTTGGCCTCAACTGTCTGCACCTGGAAAATGGAATTCCTACACTAATCACCTTATAAGTTATTCTGAATGTAAGAGATTTTTCCCAGCTGTCTCATCATCCCTAGATTACAGCACTGAATTGGAATTGAAGGTGGTAGCTATGTATTATATTTTATATTCCTTCTACAACTTTTCTTTCACAGACTTTTCTGAACAGCAAAACAAAGGACAAAAGTTCATAGTGCTTTCATAATCTCAAATGGATGGCCAACAGTGTCCTTTGATTATGGCTAAGTCATGTGGGGCATACTGAGAAGCTCAACACTGTCCAGAGACAGTATGTAAACAAATCCTATGTACTGGTCAGGTCCTAAGTACTGTATCAGCATTGACTCATCTAACCAGGAAGCAATTGTAGGCTATAGAAGTAATTGTATTCATCACCCTAAAGGAAGAAACTGGGGCACATAGAAACATGGCATAAATGGCATGATCTATCTTAAAACATGTATGTTCTGAGTGTAAGGAAGAGAACTTAGGTCCTACTGGTCTCAATGCAGAAATTGTAACCGCTACCACACAGGCCAGAGCCCTGGTATGACTGGATGAAATAATAGAGGGTTTTTCCTGAAACAGAGAGTTAAAATTCTGGGAGCTGCTTTTAGTGTGGAAGAAGGCAAGATATCCACACTTATGAACCTAGGGGCTGTGTGTGTGTGTGTGTGTGTGTGTGTGTGTGTGTGTGTGTGTGTATGCGCGCGCGCCATGGGCTTGAAAGCACAAAATTGGAGAGATCCAGCACAAGGACATTGGTATGCCACTTGGAATCACTATTTGTTGACAAATATTTAACAAAATGCTAGATTGGTGTGGTGGTTAGAGGTTGGGCAGCCTGATCTATTGTATGAAGTGCCAATTCCCTTTCAAGTTTCATTCTGTCATCATCAGAGAAAGAGTTGGGAAGAGCTGGTAACAGCTGTCACACAACAGCGTCAGTTTAGTACTTGGTTGGAACCCCACACACATTAGAAGGTAACTGACTGCTTACTAAGCCACTTACAGGGACAAGGAATAGAGAAAGTAGTCATGAAGCTAGAAGGGGCCTTTGATAAGCCAGGCATCTGGTAGTGTCCTTTCTTTGCAAGAGGTAATGTGCCTGAGTCCTTCAATGCAGGTTCATTTCTGCTTTTCTTTTCTGTGTAAGGCTGGATTTCAGCCTCTTGTTTAGGTTGAGTGAAGCCTCTGAATCCTTCATTCACATAAGTCTGGGGTTAGAGTTCCCTATAGGTGGACAGGAAGCGAAGAGAGCTAGGAAGAGTCCAGAAGAGCAGCCGTCCTCATCTTCCTCCTCCAAAGTCCTCACGTCCTGACTTTCTACAACCATCAAATTCTGAATGTCATAAAAGTAGGAATGCCTGGAGGGATCGATCCATTAATGAAGTCGGAGACCCCGGGATCCAATCAATCCCCAAGACTTCATCCCCTGGCAGCCGCATCTTTAACAGATGAGCCTTCAGGAGACATTTCAAACTAAAACTGCAGCTAAGCTAAACTTTAAGAGGAAGAAAATTGTTTCCTGTCCTCTTCAGTTACCCTCAGTGACTTTTTAAATTAGTTTTTATTCAAGTTATCATACGAAATAATAGGCTTCGTTGTGGGCCCTCAACATGTGCACACACACTGGGCATCTTCTCCTATTGCTTTCCACTTTATTTTTTGAGAGAAGACCACTCACTGAACCTGGAGTTTGCTGATTCAGCCAGGCTGGTTTGACAAAGGCCCCCAGGACACTCTCAGCTTTGCTTTCCTTCCATATAGTGTTGGGCTAGAGAGGACCTGACTTCACCTTACCCACTGAAACTTTTTTCTAGTCCTCTCAGCAATTCTTAAAATCAATTCTTAGCCAGGTATGCTTGTACACAACTGTGAGAATCTGAGCAGGGTGAGTTTCAGGCCATTCTGGTTGACAAAATGAGACCTTGTATCAAGAAACAAAAATCTTATTCAGTGTCATAGACATTTATAATGTATACAGTGTGAACAAGTTCAAATGCTGACAATCCTGGAGTCATCCAGCAAGAGACAGCTGAACATTTGATGGCTGCCTCTACCCTGTGAGAATATCAGCAACAGTCTGTCACAAATCCACAAGGAATAATAGCCACGTGCCCTGAAGGCTCTACAGTCACAAAGTATGTGGAAATTTGCAAAGGCAGCATGGAAAGGGATTTCAGAAATCATTTTTCAGTTTCATCTAACTAAAAATTAGCATGAAATGTCAAAACTTTCCTTTTATCGCAGTGGTTCTCAGCCAGGGGTCATGCTCCCATTCCTTGAGTATTTGACAACAATTGGAGACATTCTGGTTGTCAAAAACGGGCTGGGAGATGCCCCAGGCATTCAGTGTGTACAGGGGCTGTAGGGATGTTGCACAGGACAGTCCCTTAGCCCATGGAGTGACCAAGCCCCAAATGTCAATAGGGCCAACACTGGGAAGCCCTAGTCTATGCCCAAAAGAATTTTCCCAAACTCAAGACGGTGCATTCTTATTCCAGGAAAATGTCAAATTCACCAATTTTATTAGTTGTGCAATGCCAGCTTTCATTCTTGTCTGGTGCTTTAATTAAACTTTATAAACTACCAGTACAAATCAATACAATGTTTTTGTTTTTGTTTTTGTTTTTAAACACACAGCTTGAGTGTTCTTGAAGCATTTAAACAATGAATTCACTGTGGGCAAACAGAAGGCACAGAGACAGAGGAGGTAATTAGCTCATGCATCTGGTGCTGGCTAATAAATAAATAATTTGCACATGGATGTAGAAACCACTCAATGTTACCCAGATTTATTTTTTAAAAAAGAGTTTGAAGTTGTAAGAAAATGCAAACTTCAGAAGCATCTTGACAACCCATTAACATTGCGTATTTTAAAAATAAGTTGCTTCCACGTAGTCAGGAGTGAGTGAAATGTAGCAAAATCTTTCATCTCGCTGGATTGATGGACAGGTCTTTCACAAAATATATGTGTATTTTTTTGCATTTTCTTCTTATGGAAGCCAGAGACCTGAAAGAGCACCCTGCTTTGAAAAGCGATTGTTTGGTTCATAACTTTGGTTTATTCAAACAGTTAAGAAAGTCGTCCCCATTTCTCCAGAGGGGAAAGTATATTCTTTAGTAACAATACCAAAGTCTTAGTGTCCCTTTATTGTGAAGACAAAAGTGTCTTTTCCTCTCTCCAGTGTTTGATAGTTCCTCTTCGGTCAGTCTTAGTTTCTATATACCCTTCTCTCTGCAGCCCCACACACTTAGCTTCATCTGAGTTTGGCAAGTCCTCAGATTTGCTATCTGATATTTGCAGCAGAAGGTTCTGGTCACACACCTTCTGTAGGTACCTTCTTGCCAGTAGTGGTGGTGCATTTCTGTAATTTTAGCACCGAGGCTGCTGAGGCAGAAGGATCATTATTTCAAAGTTACCTTGGGTTCTGTGTTAAGACTGTCTCAAATAAGCAAACCAACAAACCAACACAAAACAAAAACAAATCTTAGAAATCATAGAAGCATATGTACTACAATGTGCTCCTACTAAGGCTTGCAAATAGGTAATTAAATAAACATAATACAAGAAAAAGTGCATTTTTAGAATATTGACTAAAAGATAACTGAAAAGAGGGGTTATTTTTGGTTAATATTGGGGGTATGACAGTATTGACAGTTTGTTTCCAGGTGCCTTTATTTTGCTTACTGTGCCCTGGAGGGTGTTGATGTCCGATCTCCACATTTCTCACAGGTCTTCTGCTCCTTCAGAAGCTTTGAGAGTCCTGGATACCAAAGCTCTCTGATGTAACCATTCCTAAGAAGAGAAGCCAGGATGCTTGCATCTCTTCTAATGAACTTTTTGCAAAACTGGTCTGAGGTTGTGAATATTTCAGTGAGCAGGGACAGAGAGATCATTTTGCTGTAAACACAGTCACTGTCACCATACACAGAGCCAACAGAAACCGGAGGCTCTGCTTTCATCTCTTCTAATCATCGGTCAGATCCTTTGTTGCCCTTTGTAGAAGTCTATACCTCATTGCATCTAAGGCAAACAACTTCAGTGTCTCCACTAATCTTCAGCCTGGGAGGTCATGTCTTTTTACTTCCCGCCTTCTGCTTCTGTTTGCGAAGGTGAGCCTCTATTTCATGCCGGAAGACAAGCATCCCCAGCTGCCCATGGGATGCCTCATTCATGGCCTTGGATTGCATGCACATCTTGTACTGCTCAGGGGTCAGTTCATCCATACAGTGCTTCTCATGCCAAAGGTGGAAAAGTCCCCGTACAGGCGTGCGTACCACTATGAGGTTGCTATGGAGATACTTCCGATACAGGTGCACATCTTCACCACCCCAGCCTTTGATGTCCAGGTCAAATCCACCTGTGGGAACAGAACATGCTACTGAATTGTGTGGCACACGCTCAGCTCCTATGGACTTTTCATCAAGGGGCATGGTGAGGGTGGGTAGGTACATAACTCTCGTGGAGTACTTGCTTTGTAAGCCTGAGAAACTGAGTTCAACCCCACTGAACATAACATGAAAAAAAATTAAAACCCAAGAGTAAATACCTGAAATGGTGGCATGCACTTGCAATTGCAGCACCAGGGAGGCAGAGACAGGTGGATGACTGGGGCTTGCTGGTCAACCAACCTAGCCCACTTGACAAGTTCCAGGCCAAAGGGAGACTCTGTCCCGAAATTAAAGACATGGATGACATCTGAGGAATGATATTTGAGGTTGTCCCCTGTCCCCCATGTCCCCATACACACAGTAAGTGTTTAGGAGAGGTGACATTTGAAGTACCATCCTTCAAGTTCCCAGCATCCATCTGGGTAAGAGGCTTTGGATGGGCGTGGCCAATAGGAATAATCTTCATGGCACACCATGAAAACTTCTTCAGTTACAGGATGCTGAACAGGATTCTAAGAATTGGACTGTTTGAAAGAGCCATCAGCAGAACTAATGAGTAGCTTTGGGTCAGGATTAAGAGCTTCAAGAGCATTCCTTCCGTTGAACTTGACACCTTGCAATGGAAACCCTGTATTTCTGTCTGGGTGTGGCTTCTTCTGTCCCTACACTCTGTCTCAAACATTCTCATGTGGCCTCTTTATCCCTGTCCCCAAACCCCAGCTACACTGCTCTGATCAATGCCGGTTAAACCAGAAAAACTCAGGACCAGAAATCCCAACTAACCAACCCTCGGAGGTATTGGTTTATGAGTGACTATGACCTGGCAGTAGGGGAACAAGAAGGGAGAGATCACAGGCCGGGCAGGCAGAGTTTAGATCCATTTTTCCTAGCAAAGTTGCTACTGAACTTGTCAAGTTGTCTTGTTTTTCTGAGACAGCATCTTGCTGTATAGCCCAGGCAGGCCTTGAATTGTCATTTCTACTGTCTTTACCTCTTAAATACAGGGACTACAGGAATGAGCCTACATGATGGTGCCAGCCAAAAGTTTGGGTTGTTTAAATCCTTCAATGAAGCAAATGTTATAAACAAACAAGCTAGAATATTGTAAGGGTTTGGCTTGGTCAACTAGAATTTATTATTGTCCCCAGCATCTCTTATTTAATACCAAGGTCACAAGAAAGAAACTTGCAAATAGGACACTGTTGCAAAGAATGGCATCCAAGGGGACTGAGAAGCTCTGAGGTCATGGCAGTGGCCCCCCAAGGAAGAACACTCTCCCTATCTCATTGTGTCTCCATTTGTTTAAAGTATAGTGACATCTCTATTCAGAGAATCCAATGCAATATGAATCCAAATGTGAAAAACATGAGAGTCCTCACACCATAATATCATCTCCCTCTGCACACAAAGCAAGGAAACAATAGTTTCATGAAATGGGGATTATTTTTAAAGATTGAATATTATTTTTGGGTATCTGATATGCATAGAATATTTCCCTAGAGATATAAAAGAACACCTGCTGGCTCTTCAGAGTAGCTGCCACTCAAGACCTGGCACTCTGGCATTCTGATGCCTCCCAAGGGACACAAATCCAAGTTGTGTGACATTATTTTCATTTTAATCTGGTGATTTCTATGGAACAAAACATATTTGGGCCTGCTTCTGCTGCCTGATTTCAAAATGGGAAGCTTTATGCTCAAGACCTGGGAGAGGGGTATGGAGAGAGGGGATGGGAAGGGCATGGAAGAGAGAGGATGGGAGGGGCATGGAAGAGAGAAAGACAAGGTACCTGAGAGGTCTGGAGAGGAGTCTCTCCATCACTTCCCAGAGATAAGGGCTTCTCCAGAGCCCAAGTCCTGTTCCTTCTTGCCCTAGCCATGTATTATGCAGCCTACTTCTCATCTTCCACTTACTGAAAGGCTTCTGGAGGCTCCTTGGCCTCTGAGCACTTTGGTCTGTTCTGCTGAAACCCATTGGCCTTTCTGTTCTGAGTTCTGGGACCCTGCAGGGAGACTCATAGGTATTTGTAAATATGTTCATTTAACCTATGTGTGTACACATGTCTATATGTGCCTGTGTACATTTTCATGTGTGCCTCAGTATATGAATATGTAAATGTATGCATGTCTGTGTTCAAACATGTCATTCTGTATCTGTGTGGTTATGTATCCAGGTATGTCTCTCTGTGTGTGCATGTGTGTCTGTTTTCAAACATGTGTTATTCTGTATCTATGTGGATATATGTGCATGCATGTCTCTGTGTGTGCATGTGTGTCTGTGTTCAAACATGTGTCATTGAGCGCTTGTGTATATACATGTCTGCATCTCTGTGTCCATGCATATCTGTGTGTCTCTATGTGTAGAGATGTGTTCATGTTGACAGTAACTGCATACTCAGAGCTTAAAGTGACATATGGGGCTTTAAATAAAGGTCACCAGAGTGAAACATGGGTCATCTTTGCATATGTTTTTCCCAGATTGCCCTCTTTTTTCTCATGTCTGGAGGCTCACAATGTCCCTATTAGTGGGCTCCACAGTACGAACTCACAGAGGCGGCGGCACCACAGAACGTGCTTGAATGCTGCCATTGTAAAATCACGAGTGTTCCTGGGTACACCTGAGAGGGCATAATGTGTATGACAGGGTCCCAAGTGCTGCCACCTGCAACCTGAGGGGCAGCACTGTTTGGGGAAATGGCAGGGGAATTTGCTCAAGGCCTGCAGGACAGTGGCCTCCAGGTGGCAGTAGACTCGAAGTTTTATCTTACCTATGTTGATGAAGTCCGACTGGTACTGACAAGTCATCCCAAATCCAAAATCCCTCCAAAATCCAGTTTCCTTCTTTATGACCTGCAAGGAAAAAACCGTCAGAGGTAGTATACAAAGCTGCTGTTCACACACTTAGGTGAGCGGTGCTCAATATTGAACCCCCCTGCCAACAAAATAGGCAAGATTAAAGTGTGTGTGTGTGTGTGTGTGTGTGTGTGTGTGTGTGTGTGTGTGTGTGTGTGTGTGTTTACCAAAAAGAATTACAATAAGCCAAGGCCAAATTGGGGCCTTGTGATTTTTGGCACCTCTGGACAGGATGTTTTTAGGGTGTAGGCATGAAAACATGCACACACTTTCTCACACACAACCAAAAACAATCCCAGAGAGCTGTGAGTAGTGCCGTGGAAAAGCCACCTACATATCTGGCGTCTGGTCCTGATGCTAAGGAGAAGTGAGGTGGTCCCTTACACAGGCCTGAGCACAGACAGAGCCAGCAGAGGGCTCAGGAAGTTGAGACATGGCCTCGGAACCACTTAGAATCCATAGCCCAACTACAAGGAAAAAGAAGAAAAACCCCAGTGACTCCTGTTGTTCCTGGCTCACTGGCCCCAGTACCTCAGTCTGGCTGAGGAAAGGGTGGCTCTAAAAGATGAAGCTGCTCCAGAAAGCTCCTGCTGGAAGTGCCAGCCAGTAGGGTGGCCGAGAGGCCATCCAAGCTGTGACTGAAAAAAAAATCAGAGCAACACATTTCTGTTTGGTTTCTTCCTTGGGAGAAAATTTCCAGCAAATTTGCTGAAGCAACAAAACTTAAAAAAAAAATAATAGCGCTCAGCATGTGCACCATACATGCACACACATGTACTAACAGACACATACACATAGACTCACACAGAGACACATGCATACAGATGTGTACACACAGATTTGTCAGAAGTAATTCTGGAAATGGGTTTGAAATCTTTATAGCTATTTTTCCACATGATTTTTGTAGTTCCCATAGAATACAGGAAGTCCCCTCCCTTGAGAGAGGGAAACAGAGGGCCTAGGAGAGTCTCTATGACTAAAGTCTGGATCTATTTGCTGCTCATTTGTGACAGATCATGAGAAAGGGAGGGCAGTCCTGTCCCAGTTCCACTACTGGCTGACCACTCTTCACTTTGATTTCAAGCCCCTGTTTTCCTTCCTATACAATTAAGCTAAATCATAGTTAAAGAGTTTTCCAGCTCATTTATTACATCACTGTTACTCTCTGTTCTAGAACCTTCCCACAGCCTAAATTATATTTGATAAATGTCTTGCAAAACAGTTAATGAATCTTAAAACATTCTCTTATCCCAGAATGCAATAGTGCAAAGGCTACATCATCCTATGGGCACCAGACCTTGCTCGTGATGAGACACCTTAACAACAACAATGAATGGGAGAGACTCAGGAAGGCCCACAGACCCTTCTCCAAGGATTTATATGTAGTTCATGTCGATCTTTACCAGTGTTGTAGCTACTGGTAAGTTACCCACACTTCTGTGAATAGTGCCCACCCGTGCCCCAGCAAGCAACCTTGGTGAAACTCATCAACACCAAACAACAACATAAGTGAAAGTAGGAGGCAGAGAAGTTTGGAAGAGCTGCGTGGAGCAGGAAAGTCTGGAGAATCTCCACTGCATAAATTTTCAATGGATACTGTTCCTTCTTCATCAATCAGGTAAACTTTTTCTGTTGCAGCTAATGGCTTAATTTCCCTTCTACTGTCCAGGGTTCTGGATATCTCACAGACATGGAGCTGTACCACGAATAATATAAACCTAGAGATAGATGTTGGGGCTCAAGCTTAGGGTCAGGCAAGCAAAGCAGCCAGCCAGTAGCTCTTACCTCTATCTCAGACTGAAAGGACTGTCCAGTCCTCAGAGTGGCTGGAAACTAATTCCCTCATGAGACCCTTTGCTTCTTCCTTTTACACCTCTCAAATCCTAGAATTAAAGGCATGGGATCCCAAGTGATGAGATATCCTTTGTGTGAGCTGTTTCTTTTTTAGACTGGATCAATTTTGTGTTGCTCAGTGTGGCCTTGAACTAAGAGAGATCTGTCTACCTTTGTCTCCTGGGATTAAAGGTGTGTACAACCACCACCTAGCTTCTATAGCTAACTAGTGTGATTGCTGGGATTAAAGGTGTGTATCACCACTGCCTGACCTTTATGGCTTGAGGCTAGCTTTGCATTCTGAATAGTTTCCAGACAGGGAGAACAATTTTCTCTGAGGATTTGTGGAGCTAGCCAGATCACCTTTCAATCTGAAGTAGAGGAGAGAGCTAGTGGCTGGCTGCTTTGCTTCTCTGATCTTTTGGCTTGAACCCCAATATCTGTGTCTGGGTTTTTAGTATTTGTATTACATGGAGTGGAAGAGAAGCGCCAGCATCCAAACTTCAAATATTTGACAGTACTCTACACAGGGTTTTAAAGGGACAGCTCCCTCCTGGAAGAACTATCAGGAAACCTGAGGAGGAAGCATGAGTGTGCTCCCAAGAAGCCATTGTGCCAAGATTCTGGGCTAAAATCAATGTTGTGTTGAAGGACATAAGGAATGGTGAGCCTGACCTGGAGAGGTGTGACAGCAACACATTGATTTATGGCCAGGGGTTGAGGTATAGAAACAGCTTTTAAGTTGGTTTGAAGGCCAGTAAGCCACAGAAAGGCACTCTGGGAAGAAGTCATTGAAACATAGTCTTTTGTGGAAACTGACATGGTTGTGTCACAGCATGTAATTTCAGGGTAAGATGGATTTCACTATTAGAGGTTCTACCGCCATAGCTGGGCCAAGTTACTAACTGTGGCTCTTCAGTGTTGCCTTTGGAGAGCAGCCTGGCAGAAATGAATGCTGTTACTCTCTTCTCATGGGATGGCATCAGGTTACTTCTGAAGACCTTAGAAGAGCCACAAAGGGTTTTCAGTCTACCACCCAGGCCTGCCTATCTCCTCCCTCTCTCCTCTTACCCCTTTTAGCCTCTACACCAGTGGTTCTCAATCTTCCTAATGCTTTGACCCTTTAATTCAGTCCCTCATGTTGTGGTGACCCAAACCATAAAATTATTTTCATTGCTATTGTAATTTTGCTACTGTTATGAATCACAATGTTAAAAGCTATGTTTTCTGATAGACTTAGGCAACCCCCATGAAAGGGTCATTTGACCGCCAAAGGGGTCATGACCCACAGGTTGAGAATTGCTGCTCTACACAGGACCATTTCCTGACCTCCAAACTCCCCAGGCTCACAGGCATCTAAGGTGTTCCTACAGTCTCTACTGGTCACCTTTCCCTTATTCATTGTTGCTCAGAGTGATCACCCTGACTGTCCTGGCCAATGCCATACAACTGCCAGTGCCCATTTCCCCTCTACACTGTGAGCCTGACTTAAATTCCTTATAACACTAGCAGTGAAATGACCCCATGGGTTCATCTGTTTCTCAGTTTGCTGTCTTTACCCACTACCCATAGGGAATATCAGAGAGAGTCTTAGTCTCTTGTGTCACCAGTATCCAGAACATTGATAACCACATAGCTGTGCAACTAACAGAGACATTAATAGATACTCTTTAGTGGATGGAGGAGGAACAGTTCTAAGGTAATCATGGCTCCTAGCCTGTGGAAACAAACATGCTTCAAGTGAGAGACACTTGTCAGCAAGAACTTCAGCAAAAACATGGGTGTTCCAGGGGTGACAACTGTCAGGATTGTAGGGATCCAGACCAATAGGCAAAAATGTCCTTGAGGCATAAGGCATCAATTTTGACTTATACACATTGAGTCAGGCACAAGGAGTCCCACCATTCTGTTCAAGTGTTAAAATATATACTTCAATGGTTCTACCACAGGATAAAGAGTAAGCCTTCAAAGTTATTCATCTTGTCCTCTTGTTGTAAATTTCATTGATTTACCTACAGGTGCCACAGTCACTTTAAAGATGTTATCTGGGGCTAGCACCTTGTCCACTCTTTCTATAGAACCTTTCTACTCCACAAAAGTTTGAAAAAGACTGTGGGAGCTAGTATGCCACAAAGGCATGGGTTTCAGGCTTAGTGTCCCACAGGAAGTTTCTAGAATCACAGCTTTGTAGGCAAGTCATGTGACCGGGGCATTTATTTTTTTTAATTAGAATCAGAACACAAAACACAAATCAGCAACTCCCTCTAGAGTTGAGGGGAACACAGCCACCACACAGCTGCACAGGCATCCTGGAGCATAGCCAGTTGCCTGTCTGATTAAATGGTATTGGGCGGGCAGCTGCTTATGAAGCAATCTGAATTTTAAAATTAAGTAAACTTCAGGGAAAGAATTCTCTCTATACCAAAGAGTATCTCCTTAGAACTGAAGCTAGATATGACTGGCTTTTTTTTGTCCTAGGAATGCCAAAGAGCTGGACAGGTTTACAGGCATGTGGCCCACAAACTCACAGAGGGTCCCATGCTTGTTACAGCTGTCTTTAAGTTCTGAACACTTTTGGAAGGGTGTCTGAATTTTGGTTTTTTTTCTGAGATATTCTACTGACAGAGCAGGCCCTGCTTGTGAATATTGAATTGCAGCAATTGCTGGGTCTGTCTATGCCTTGTGCACTCTTTACTATCTGGAAATGGAAGGGCCAGTGATCACCCTGCAGAGGGTTCTGGGGGTGAAGGCTATGTGCCCTCTTCTTGAGACCTTTTCAAATGGAGGCAGAATCATTTGCTCAGGTTCGTTCTGCTGAAACAGAGCTTGGGGCTAGGATTCCTATGAAGATCTTCATATAATTTCTTGAGAAATAATGCATCATGGAGCCATAGGGTCCCCAGAGTTTATTTAATAATAGGCTCAAATATCATTTCTTCCCAGATCTCTACAGAGTCTCATTTTCACACAAGTCCTACTGGTTTCTGAATAAAGGATGACAGTGTCTTCTAAGGGGTTCAGGTTGGACACAGACCCACTAGGTCTCTCATATCTGGGATTTAGACCCTTGGTCCTCCTTGAGTACACTGAAGCCAAAGGATACAGATCCTTCATCTCTCCATCCTCAGTCAAGCTTAGCCTAACAATGTGGCACTCACTTCTGT